AGAGTGAGAGTACTATTAGTGCTATCACATTTAATCGATCGGTCCAATTTTCACATAAGCAACATTATGCCCTCTCATTTTCAATAAGGAAAAATGAGTGTAAAGACAACTTATTAGTGCTCATTAAGAATTTGTGACAGTAGAACCTCACTATGAGATCGTTGATAATTTAACTCCGACGGAGATATTATATTTTTTTAAATATTTTATTGAAGTGCTTTATTATTATAATTACGCTTTTAAAATATTTAAATTTAATGATTACAAAGATTTTGCTTTTTTCCTTAAACCATATTAATACTTCACTTCGACATAGCACTCACCAACAACATAAAGCAAAAGTTTAAAAACAAAAATACAAAAAATTCCTCTTTCTATTCTGTCTTCCTGAACCCTTACCGACCAAAATGCGATTCATCTCTACCTGCGTGTCAGTCCTCCCTCGCTATTCCTCTCGTAGCCATATATATCTTGGTTTGATCTGAGATATAACTCAACACCGTACCAATATTACTACACCACCTCTCTGTCTAGAAAGAAATTATGAAAACCCTCCTTCTCTCTCTCTTCTCATACTATAAGATTCTTATTCTCATTCTTTATCTTCAAATACTTTCGGATAGTTTAAACTTAGTAGTATCAGGATGAGAACAATCTATTTGATCGCAGAGTTGAGGCCTTATGTGAGAAAGCAAAAAGGTGTGAAGCCATGAGAAGGTCAACACATGCCTAAATCAAGAGATGAACACTGTATGAGAGGAAAATGAGAGGGCGGTTGCTTTGGGAAATTGGGACCATGATGTGATGGATTCTCTCTTCCCCCTCATCTGTCTTTCTCTTGCAGAGAGTAAAAAATAAAAATAATTCAGGTGGATGGCACTGTGGTTAAAGTTTAGGATTTAAGTTCTAAGGTTGCAGGTTTAATTTTCTCTTTTTTAGGCTAATTTCTTGAGTGAAGCACAGTTGGTTAGAAAGTTAGATTTTAAGTTGTCTAATCAGCACTTAGTGTGAATTCAATGCTCCCTATTGTGCGAGTCCTGACTTAAGCGGAGCTTGTCTTTGGGAGGTCGGGGCAAATTCCCAAGTTATAGTCTTCTCGCTCGAAACAGCTAACAGGACATCATGATAATCTCTGCAAAAGGCGCTGTCTTGGACCTGCGGAAGGATATGGAGGATTTTCCTGTATAAAAAAAAAAAAAAAGAAGAAGAAGAAAAAAGAAATAAAGGTATTTTGGATAATTTATTAATTTTTTCATTGTTTTGTAAATTTTTTTACAAGTTTTTTCATCAGTACCTAATGTTTGATTGTTATAATCATAGAATTAAATAAGAAAAAAATAAAGGCTCATTATGTAGGGTTATTTTGGAAAGTATGTTAAAAGTTATTTTTATTTTTTTGACTTTTTTTTAAAAAAAAATGTGTAATAAAAATAAAAAAAGTAATATGACTCAAAAAAAGGTTAAAAGCTAAAAAAAAACTAACTTTTAATATTTTTTCAAAAGAAGCTGTAGTAATAAAACCCGAACCTAAATATTAGGTCTAATAAGAGAGTATTTAAATGCCCCATAAATGATGATTAATGTTGAGATATACATGTAAAAATTATTTAAAAATAAAAATATATTAAATATTAAAATGCATAAAATTTATTTAAAATTTAATGAGAAAATATCAAATCAATGGAACAGTAAAAAGTTATTTACATTATCATGATTTGCAACTCTACTATATGCATGGTGCAAATCCTCTATGTACATAGTGCAAGTTCTCATTGTGTATCAAAGTTGCATTATAAAAAATTTCGGTTGCGTTTGAAATGATTTTCAAACTATAATTCTACCCACACATTTTAATTTTATGTTTGGATATGACTTTTAAACTGTATTTCTAAAACTCTGTCTCAAGCGCGATTTTCAAAAAAAAAAAAAATCAAATTTGGCCTAATTGGTCATCCCACTGAACGTCCTACTGGTCGTCCGCCCGGTTGACCGAAACAATGCAAATTTATTTATTTATATATATATATTTTTTTTTGCAATTGACATATGTTAATTTTTATATATTCGAAAAAAATATATTTCGAATTTTTTAAAATTAATAGAATTTTGAGTTGTATGTTTGGTTATGAGTTGTAAGTTTTTGTATCAAATATCATATGTCACATCAAAAATTTCCCTTTCAAGTTAAAACTCTTTTCAAAACTCTCTTACCCTACAAAGTTTTCACACTCAAATGGACCGTAGAGTTTCCTATACTACAAGAACACACTATTTACACACAATGGACTTAACGCAAAACTTTGTGTAACGAGGCTTGCTGGAAAAAAATACAAGACGACCCTGAAAATTGCGACCTGATATGGCCCCAAGAATCTCAAGAACACATTACTTCTTCCAAAAGTTCATCAAAAATCATATCCTCCAGCGCAAGAGCCACACATTCGGATTCCAGCTGGAGGTTCATCCACCCATCATCTGTCCCCAAATCATGAGAGACAACATGGTCCACTGACTGATCAACCCTTGGCCTCAAGCTCAGGGTTTTGCTAATTCTTGCCCAGACCTCATCTAGAACGTGGTACCTCACTGGCATTGGACATATGCGACAATTGGAGGACAATGCTTTTGGGTAGTATGGGAAAGAACTATCATATATCTGGAGTAAAACCTCATTGATTATATCAAACAGAAGCTGGTGATGAAAACAGGCATAGATTTTCTCTTCATAATGTTGGGATTCATGAGGCCAGCAATCTTCCACTTCGTCAAACACCAAAGGGTTCAATGGCTGGTCCTGTGAATACCATGGTCCATGGAAGCCATTTTCATTGAAGCCCGAGCACTCAAGAATATCACTCACATAATTGAAGTCAGCATTATCATTTGTACATAATTCAACACGACTGTGATTCTTAACACTCTTGGACCTATATTGTGAGTCAACTGATCAGTTTGAGATGAAGGACCTTGGTACTCTTAACTACTTCTTAGGCCTTGAAGTCTCTCATGATTCTACTGGTTCCTATTTGTCCCAGGCCAAATATGCATCCGATCTTCTGGCTCGAGCTGGTCTTACTGATTGCAAAACTGCCTCTACTCCGGTTGATCCTCAGATTCGTCTCACTCCTCTCGATGGGACTCTTCTCTCTGATGCTACTCTTTATCGCCAGCTCGTCGGCAGTCTTGTCTATCTCACAGTCACTCGTCCTGACATTGCCTATGCTGTTCACATTGTCAGTCAGTACATGTCGGCTTCTCGCACTCCCCACTATACTGCTCTACTCCGTATCCTTCGCTACCTCAAAGGCACTTTGTTCCATGGTCTTCACTTCTCGGCTTCTTCCTCTCTTGACCTACGTGCCTTTTCGGATGTTGATTGGGCTGGGGATCCTACGGATCGACGCTCCACCACGGGATTCTGTTTCTTCTTAGGGGATTCTCTTCTTGCTTGGCGTAGCAAAAAACAATCCCTCACTGCCCGCTCTAGCACCGAAGCTGAATACCGAGCTCTTGCTGATACTACTCAGGAACTTCTCTGGCTTCGCTGGCTCCTTGCTGATATGGGTGTTTCTTCATCTGCTCCTACCCCTCTCTATTGTGACAATCATAGTGCCATTCAGATTGCTCACAATGATGTTTTTCATGATCGCACCAAACATATTGAGATTGATTGTCATTTTATTCGCCAGCATGTCACCTGTGGAACTGTTCATCTTCTTCCTATTGCTTCAGTCGATCAACCCGCTGATATCTTCACTAAGGCTCATCCTCCTGGCCGCTTCAATGATCTTGTTTCCAAACTCAACTTGGTTGATGCTTTCCCTCCTTGAGTTTGCGGGGGCTGTTAGAATAGCTTTAGCTTTATCATTATTAATTGTATAGCTTTATGATAGACTAGCTTTAGCTTTATATTATTAATTGTATAGTTTTACTTTTTGCTTTCGGTGGTAATGGTGGTATCCAATGCCCATATTTCTCTCTATAAAGAGAGACTTCATTCTCTTTGTAAATCAATCAATATACAAACATTTCAGAGTCTCCCTCTCCCTCTATAGCTTCTCTCACTCTCTCAAACTAATATTTCATTGAGGATAGACACATCGGGTCTGCCGGCCACGCCGGCCATGTCTTGTTTGGCTGATTGATTTGCCATGTACTTTTTGTTTTCTTTTTTAAACTAATTTTGCCACGTACTTGGCTTTGCTTTTGGTTTATTTATTTTTTATTTTTATCTCCTTGTTTGTTACTTGCTTGGCTTTTGTTTATTTTTTACTTTTTATTTTGGTTAATTTCTCTGCCGGCCCAAGCCAGAGAAATGGGAAGACTTTTGGTAGACTTTTTATCGCGAGAACATCGATACAAATATAACTTGTTTAATAAACGTGTTATATAGGTAAATATTAATACGATTTATTAATAATAATATCAATTCGTAAATAATATAAATGACATGATTAATTTATAAACCTTCTTCTTCACTATAACATGACATACACTGCGATTGCCTCAACAAAAAATCTATTTAAGAAAGAGAAATAAATACGAAAAATATTATTTGGATAAAAAGAAAAGAAAAAATATTGTTTGGAAAAAAAGAAAAAGAAAAAAAAATCAAGAGAATAAAAAGTATCATGTTATATCAATTAACTAATATAAATATCTATCTATATAGATAGATACACTTCTATGTATATATATTTATATAAAGTTGCACAAATCATAAATTGGGTCACGGTTTGTGTTCATGTTTTAACGTGCCATTTTTGAATTTTGCGGGTTTAACTCGTATACGACTTGTTTATTATACGGGTCCATGGGTTGTGTCATATACGTATTCATGTTGAAAAAGCTCAACCCTAACTCGTTAATTTTGTGTACAATACGAGTCATGTTATTATGTCATGTTACAAATTCCCACCCTTAATTTTCACCCTAGTTCTTGGGACATTTTGTTGAGCAAATCAAGAGCTTCAAAAACTATTGCAAAAAAATTGAGATTTGGGTAAGGTTAATCATCTATAGTTTGTGTTTCTTGTGATTTGAGGTAGGAATTTCTTTAATTTTTCTTAATGCAATTTTTATATATATGAATATTTGGTATTTCTATTATATAAATTTTGAAGATTTGGTAGCATATGTTCTAAAAGCTAGGATTGGTGTTGTGTATGGTCACTACAAGAAAAAGCATCTTTGGCGACTAAAAAAGCACCTTTGGTCGCTAGAAGTATAGGTTTTGGCGACTAAAAAAGCATTAGTAGCCAAAAGTAAAGATTTTTGGCGACTAAAAAAATTTAGTAGCCAAAAGTATAGGTTTTGGCGACAAAATCTGTTTGGTCGCCGATATATGGCTTTTACCAACTAAAAAAATTTTAGTAGCCTAAAGTAAGGTTTTTTGGCGACTAAAAAAAATTTAGTAGCCAAAAGTGAGGCATTGGGCGACTAAAAAGATGCTTGGTCGCCAAAAGTAAGGCTTTTACTGACTAAAAAAATTTTAGTAGCCAAAAGTGAGGCTTTTTGGTGACTAAAAATAATTTAGCAGCCAAAAGTGAGGTATTGGGCGACTAAAAAAATGTTTAGTAGCCAAAAGTGAGGCTTTTTGGCGACTAGAAAGAAGTTTAGTCGCCAAAAGTGGTAATTTTAGCACGAAAATTAAATTTTTTAACGACTAAAAAATAATTAGTAGCCAAAAGTATAGAATTGGCAACTAAAAAGAAGATTAGTCGCCAAAAGTGGTCTCTTTTTTTCTAGTAAATAATTTATTTTTACATATAAAAAATAATTTTCTTTATATATATACTTTTATATTAATACGGGTCTATGTACTGTATAAATAATATATGTTGCAAATATAATCATATGGTGTTATAGAGGCGTAGTGGAAAGAGTGTATAAAGTTTATGGTGTGGGAGGTTGATGGTTTGAATCTCTACAAGAGCAGATGAGAAGCCAGTGAGTGTAATTTTTTTTTTCACAAATGAGCTTTTGGCGACTAAAAGGTTTGGTCGCCGATTCCTTGAATATAGGTGACTAAAACATTGGTCGGTAAATGTATAATTTAAAAAATATAATTAACTATTGGCGACCAAAGTTTTGGTCGCTAAAGACTTGTTTTTTGGCGACTAAAAATTTTTAAGTCGTCAATACCTTTCCCAACCGTTTTCCGGCGACCAAACCGGCGACTAAAAAATTTAGTCGAGGAAACTAAAAGACCGACTTTTGGCGACTAAAACTTTAGTCGCTAAATGTGTTTTTTCTTGTAGTGGGTATTTCTTGAGTAGTTCATCATATAGAGTAATTTTGGCAAGACTAAGAGCATATAGAAACCTAAGATGAGCAAAGCCTTAATTATTCGTATAAGAACCCTAATGTCCTTCAAATTTTGTAATTGGGAAAAAAGAAAATTGCTAATCAATTTTGAGAAATTTAAATAAGAGCTTGTTGATTGAAATAAGGTAAAGACAGAGAGTTTGTATTATATGTAATTTGATTAAAATTGATGATAAATTAAGGAATGCTTCATTATATATATTATTAAGTTTGAGAGCGATTATCTAGGTTGTTATTGGTTATAGTATGTTCCTAAATGAGGCCTTAGAAAGGTTTAATAGAAATGACTATTGTTGACATAATTAAATGAAACTAGATTTGACACTATTACTGAAAATGAAATTGAGAATGTAACAGTTGAATTGTGAAACGCAACTAGGTTGAAAGTAATGAAGTGTGAACCAAGTGTTGTTAAATGAATTACCTGTTATACATTGCTTATGTTGGGGTGTATACTGTTTAGAAATATATGTTTTGACAATCGGTGGAAAATTTCATTGCTTGTTATAGAATTAATATGAAATTGGTTGAATTGAAACCTTACATGCTATATAGTTTTATCAATTAATCTGGTAAATGGAGTTGATGTGATTCATGTTGTGTTATGTGATGAAAGTGTTATATAGAGGTTCTAAGTTCCTTCCGATTAGCACTTGGTAAAGTGGATTGCGCTTTTAATGATAGGTCTTAATTTTCCTCCAACTAGCCCCTGGTAAAGTGGCTTGTATTTCAAATGATAGGTCCTAAGTTGCCTCCAACTAGTGCCTAGTAAAGTGGTTTGCACTTGTAATGATGGGTTCCAAGTTCCCCGCTAGCGCCTGATAAAAAGGATGACAATGACTTGACAAAGTCGAATTATGTTATGAGAATGTAATGTCATGTTTAGATTTTTATATATGTGTTTATGGTGAAAGATGCTCAATTGCCCCCCTCTGTACTACAAAATGTGGGGATGTCTTTGAGTGTATTATGAATTGAAAATAGTTATTGTGATTCTAGTGGAGTTATATGAAGTGATAGACTATTGGGAGTTACTTATAATCTATGTGGCATCATAGTTTTTGAATTGTAGGTGTTGAATTGCTTTAGTTGATCTACCTTAGTGGATTTTGAGAATATTTATTGAGATGATTTTTAAATATTCGAAATTTATGGAACTTTTTAAGTTATTAAAGATGAAATTAAAAGTTAAAGATTAGAACCCTTATCAAATGTAATTTAATGGTTTTTGAGGAAAAGTATACTTATGTATATATATGTATTTTGGATAGCTAAAAAGAGAACATTATCGATATATTTATTATGTGGAGCATTCATGATCATATGTATATGTAGAACTATATTAATTAGAATTATTGAAATCTCTACTGAATTATATGTTCATCCCATGTTATTTACCTTTCTTCAGGTAAAGATTTAGAATATTATGTTCAAACTTGAGAAGTTCTCTTTTCTCTTTTCGGCCATAGGGCCTTTCATTTGTCAAATGAATGGTATATTTTTGTAATGAGGGTTACACTCCTTTTATTCATGTTTGTGTAAGCCTAAGGGCATTTGTAAATGTATAGTAATTGATAAACTTTCACATGTTTTCGAGAGAGGACTATTATTATTTATTCAAGTTAATGTTGTAGCTTATGCACCTTGATTTATGACAATAGATAATAATGGATATAATAATGTAAATCGGGTTTTAAAATATGAAGCGTTAGGTTAAAACACACGACTTCATAAATGAGAATAGTAAAATAATATTCGCTAATAATTAATGAGGTCCTGGTGCTCACTAAAGGTTAGGCTAGCACGTCTGTCAACGACTTACAGGTATAAACGGTCAACATGCAATCCCTGCTATACGACCTAACCCTACGCGACTTGGGTGATGTCCCACTAACCTTAACAATTAATTAACCTTACATTAGCACAAACCCAGGAATAATCATGCACATAATATGTAGATAAACGAAATAAATTACAACATATATGATCCCATTAATTTACTGTTAAGGAGGTGGAGGCCTTCTGGCCGCCCACGCAACTATCTGTTCGTTAATCAGAGTCTGTAATTCTGCTATACGCTGGTTACACTCTGATATACGCTCAGATATATATGGTTGGGTATAAAAATCTACAGGTGTATTAAGATAATAATTTTTCTGTTGTTGCCAAAATTGCAGGTACGATAATAACTGTTCTAAAGCATTAACAGAGGGCATTCATACTTACAAACATGGAGAGTGCTCCCAAAGCTTACTTATGATTAGTAGAAGAAGTACCAATATTTTACAAGAGGGGGTTTGACGGATTACAAACAGAAAGAAAATGGAAAATAAAACTTAGTTCTAGTCTGTCTCAACAAGGGTGAGACCATCCCTATTTATAATACAAAGAAGATAAGAGAGGATCGGAAATGAGGACAGGTGTCATGTCCTGAGTGATTAACAGGATTACACCTTATCTTATCTTCAATTTTGTCGGAAAGTAGAGCTGTCTTCTCCATTTGACTGATAATGTGAATCTGCTTTTTAAAAGTATTCTGTCTGTTTGTGCCGACGCTTTAATGCTCAGGTTCTTTACCTTTCCTGTCCTTGACTTTAGTTATTTTTTCGGCAATTACAGTTGTGAGTGAGTCCCAAAAGTCACCTAGATTGGGCTCATCTTCTTCTGGATCTTGTGACTCTCCTGCCAACACGTGTTCGGCTGGATCACTTTCTGGTTCTGATGGAGTCTGACTGGTGCCTGACTTCATGGAGACGTCATCATCTGGGCTGACTGTTTGGAGAAACTGTTCTTTCAGAAAATCCATGCTTTTAATTATTAATTCATGTTCTGAAAGATGAGGATATTGCTGTTTTAACTCCTTTTGAATTTGCACAAAGGGATTGCTGGATAGTACGGGTGATGGAGCTGGAAGAGCTGGTTGTTTAACTGTTTCCCAACATGCTTTGGTATGCTGTTGAATTTTCTGGACAGTCTCTATTAGATTAGGGTTCATACTCTTATCCCACCATTTGACAAAAAAGATTCTTTTAAGGCGGGGGACCTTATTCTGGTAATCACAAGTAAAGTCCCATTTCCATATCCATGGAATACCAAAACGGATAGTAAAATGGACAAGAGATCTACCACCAACCAGAAACTATTATGCAAGACCAACTCTTCCTGATGTACTCTATGAAGAGACATACATCAATGATTAGGGATCCTACCATGGTAAAACCATCTATGAATGGAATATAGATGGTAAATCAGAATATGGTATTTACAAGAAATTACATCAGATGATGATGTATGCCACCGTTTGCCGCCAATACAGTAATAGCGACCATGCAATTGTTAAATTCATTATAAATGGATTTACCGGCCAGCTCAAAGGATGGTGGGATAATATTCTCACTCCTCTCCAGCACAATGAAATCCTCACTTCTGTTAAAGTTGAGCTAGATCCAACCACTCAACAACCTGTTCAACAAGAGGATGCCGTTTACACTCTTATCCAGACCATTATTCTTCATTTTGTTGGTACCAGTACTAGCTCCTCCGACCGTAGTCGTGAGCTCTTACAGAATTTACGGTGCCCTTCTTTGACCCATTTCAAATGGTACAAAGATGTTTTCCTCATCAAGGTCACTCAACGACCTGATGCTAACAGTAGCCATTGGAAGGCTAAATTTATTGACGGCCTTCCTACCTTTTTTGCCGAACGCGTTAGGAAAAAACTTCGGGACCGCCATGACCAGATGTCTATTCCTTATGAACAGTATACATATGGATAGCTTTGTTCCATTGTTACCGACGAAGGTCTATCTTTGTGTAATGACCTTAAACTTCACTATTAGATGAAGCAACAGAATTTAACAGGACGAAAAGAATTAGGAGAATTCTGCGAACAGTTTGCTTATGAACTAGGTCTTAAGTATCCTGCTAAAACTAGGAAGGTTTCCCATAAGAAACAGTCTAAATCCATCCGAAGAAAGTCACATAAGACGTATCCACAAAAACCTAAGAAGAAGTTTTATTCCAACAAAGCTTCAACTACAGGAAAAAGTAAAGGAAAATCCAAATCAGAAATTAAATGTTATAAGTGTGGCCAAATTGGTCATTATGCAAACCGATGCAAATCTAAAGTCAAGACCAAGATTAATGAGTTAAATCTTGATCCAGATATTAAAAGACAACTTCTCCAAACAATAGAGGAAGAATCAACCGAAGATAAGTCTCCTTCTGACGATGAAATTAATGAATTATTTTCACCCTCCAGTAGTGACGATGAACAAGATGAATCTGCTTGCCCTTGTTCAACTAACCAGGATCAACTGTCAGAAATTAATTATTGGAAATCAATAGTTGAAATGAATGGTTTACATCTAGGTGAGCCTAGCAGTATTAATGTGTTAACTGATGCACAAAAAGATATGCTAGCAGTAGCAGATCAAATCCAGGATCCAGAAATAAAAATTAAATATCTAAAAATGTGTTATGAACGCCAGCAAACAGTTCAAGAACAACCTTTAATACCAGTACATTCTTACAATCTTCAAGATGTGTTTAAAAGAATTCAGACTCTAAATTCTACCTCTGTAGAACAACCGACAACAATTCATGACTTAAAAATGGAAATAAATATTTTAAAAACAGAAGTTAAACATTTACAAACAGCCAGTGCAGCTACTATTAAAGATATCAAATATCTTCATAGTCAGCTCAAGATAAAAGAACCAGAAGCAACTAAACCAGTTGAATCAGAGAGGCAGCCAGAATCCTCAAACCAATATTTATTACTTGTAAATCAAGTCACTTTCCAGAAATGGTATATAAAAATTTCATTTATGATCCAACCCGACTTTTGGATTAAAGATGCTATCGCCTTAGTTGATAGTGGTGCAGATATGAACTGTATTCAGGAAGGTCTAGTTCCCACCAGATATTTTCAAAAGACTACTCAAAGTCTAACCAGTGCTAGTGGAAACTCACTCCAGATCAGGTATAAAATTCCCGAAGCATATATTTGTAATCAAGATTCTTGTCTACCTACATCGTTTGTATTAGTCAAAAATCTTGCACAAAACATCATTTTAGGTACCCCTTTTTTGTGCCTTCTTATGCCCATACAGAAAATTGACCAAACAGGTATTTATTCTCAAATACAGGGACGATCAGTTATTTTTAAATTTATAACAGAACCATATACAAAAGAATTAGATCAAATTCGTGGTCTAGTAACCTTTAAAGAAAAATAGATAAATTTTTTACAAAAAGAAGTTCAATTTTTGACAACAGAACAAAGGTTACAGCAACCTTCTTTACAACAGAAAATTAAAATAATTGAAAATGAATTTAAAACAGAAGTCTGTAATGATGTTCCAAATGCTTTTTGGGAACGTAAAAAACATACAGTAACATTACCCTATGAACCGACTTTTAATGAAAAATATATTCCTACTAGAGCCCGCCCTAGTCAAATGAAGAAGGAATATATGGAATTACGTAAAACAGAAATCTAAGCTCTTCTTTCTAAGCAGCTTATCAGACCTAGCCAATCTCCTTGGAGTTGCACTGCTTTTTATGTTAATAAAAATGCAGAAATTGAACGAGGTGTTCCACGCCTTGTTATCAATTATAAACCGTTAAATGAAGTCTTACAATGGATCAGATATCCAATTCCGAATAAGAAAGATCTGTTAGATCGATTACATGATGCAGTTATATTTTCTAAATTTGATTTAAAATCAGGCTATTGGCAAGTGCAAATTGCAGAACAGGATCGCTATAAAAACAGCTTTTACAGTACCCTTTGGGCATTATGAATGGAATGTCATGCCATTTGGCCTTAAAAATGCTCCATCCGAATTTCAGCATATCATGAATGATATTTTCACTCCTTTTACAGAATTTGCTTTATCTTATATTGATGATGTTTTAATATTTTCCTCATCAATAGATCAGCATATTAAACATCTTAATATTTTTAAGAATGTTATTATCAGAAATGGATTAGTTATTTCTGCACCTAAGATGCAGTTATTTCAAACAACAGTTAGATATTTAGGACATAATATTTCCAATGGAAGTATTATTCCTATTAACAGGAGTATGGAATTTGCTTCTAAATTTCCAGATGAAATTAAAGATAAAACCCAGTTACAGAGATTTCTTGGTAGTCTCAATTATGTTAGAGATTATTACCATCCGTTATCTGCAGATGCTAACATTTTATACACCAGACTTCGAAAGAATCCACCACCATGGTCAGAAGAACATACTTTAGCAGTGAAAAGAATTAAGGCTAAAGTTCAACAGTTACCTTGTTTACAGTTACCAAACCCTAATTGGAAGAAAATTGTTGAAACAGATGCATCCAATGAAGGATTTGGTGGGATCTTAAAACAGCTTAATCCCAATACCCAGAAAGAAGAATTGTTAAGATTTCACTCTGGACATTGGAATAAAGCCGCTTTAAATTATCCAACCATCAAACAGGAATGTTTAGCTATTGTTAAATGTGTTATTAAATTTCAAGATGATCTTTTAAACCAGCATTTTCTCATCAGAGTTGATTGCTCTGCTGCTAAACAGATTTTTAAAAAAGATGTGAAAAATCTTGCATCCAAACAGATATTTCTGACTTGGTAAAGTTTTTTTTATCTAATTTTGATTTTGATATTGAATATATCAAAGGCGAAACTAACTATTTGCGTGATTTCTTAACCCGTGAATATTTGCAGAAATCCCATCCTGAAGAGGAATGACCAGTAGAGGCCACCGAGGTCGTGGTCGTGGCTGGGGTCACAACCCTCGCTATGATCCAACAGAATTTCCACCTTTAAGAGGTCAAACCAGTAATTCATCAGCTAAGGATATTCTCCTTAAGACTGAAGAACCATATACTCCTAACAGTATTACAGAGGAAACTATCCTCTATATTGAAATAGCAGATGAACAGTGGATGACTGATCCATGGGAGATCAAGCATAGGTATCTGATAACGCAGCAATCTCCACCTCACTTTGACCAGTATAGATATATCTATGAACAGATATTAACAGAAACAGGGGCAGCTAAAATTAAACACACTTTACATGATGTTAATAAAACTGCTAGCCCAATTCAATTCAGTAAAATTGTCATCCGCCAGCTTATGCCCATTTCTACTTGGGGCATTCATCCGCATACTACCCGTGATATTGATTTGCGTAACAAGCAAACCAAATACAGTTACTGGGATTATATTGATGCTTTTACCCAAGTTTTTTATTACCAAAATCCCATTAAAAACCATTCTTAGTTTATCTGAATCTGCCCTGATGTCCTTAAAATCGATGTCCCCAATTGGTTCCTCGTTTAGTGGGATAAATTTGGGCTTTCTCTTGATATTTTACCAGACACCATTCGAACAGCATTTAATGAGTGGCATGTAGCTTATTCTCGAGCTTATGCTTACTTAAACAAAAACAGAGACCTTTCCATCAGTAAATCTCTTGTCCATTTTACTATTCGTTTTGGTATTCCATGGATATGGAAATAGGACTTTGCTTGTGATTACCAGAATAAGGTTCCCCGCCTTAAAAGAATCCTTTTTTGTAAAATGGTGGGATAAGGGTATGAACCCTAATTTAACAGAGACTGTCCAGAAAATTCAACAGCATACCAAAGCATGTTGGGAAACAGTTAAACAAACAGCCCTTCCAGCTCCATCACCCGTATTATCCAGCAATCCCTTTGTGTAAATTCAAAAGGAATTAAAACAGCAATTTCCTCATCTTTCAGAGCATGAATTAATAATTAAAAGCATGAATTTTCTGAAAGAACAGTTCCTCCAAACAGTTAGTCCCGAGGATGACGTCTCCATGAAATCAGGCACCAGTCAGACTGCATCAGAACCCGAGAGTGATCCAGCCGAACACGTGTTGGCAAGAGAATCACAGCTTCCAGAAGAAGATGAGCCCAACCTTGGTGACTTTTGGGACTCATTAACAACTGTCATTGCAGAGAAAATCACTAAAGGCAAAGGCAAGGGTCCAGAGCATTAATTGTGTCGAGTGTCGGTACTACCAGACAAACAACTTTGGGAAAAGCAGATGCCCACTATCAGTTAAAAGGAGATTCTTGCTCCACTCTCCGACAAAGTTGAAGAACAGGCTTTCAGGATAAGATGTAATCAGTCGGTCCATTCCTCAGCCTACACCTGTCCACTTGTTTGATCCCCTCTTATCTTCTTTGTATTATAAATAGGGATGGTCTCACCCTTGTGGAGACAGACTAGAAAAAAGTTTTATTTTCCATTCTCTTTCCGTTTGTAATCCTTCCAACCCCCCTTGTAAAATAGTGGTACTTCCTTCATTAATAATATCAAGCTTTTGTGTGCACGCTCCATGTTTGTAAGTATGCTTGCCCTCTGTTAATGTTTTAGAACAGTTATTATCGTACCTGCAATTTTGGCAACAACAGAAAAATTATTATCTTAATACACCTGTAAATTTTTATACCCAACCGTATATATCTGAGTGTATATCAGAGTGTAATCAGCGTATAGCAGAATTACAGACTCTGATTAACGAACAGATAGTTGCGTGGGCAGCCAGAAGGCCTCCACCTCCTTAACAGTAAATTAATGGGATCATATATGTTGTAATTTATTTCGTTTATATACATATTATGTATATATGACTATTCCTGGGTTTGTGCTAATGTAAGGTTAATTAATTGTTCAGGTTAGTGGGACATCACCCAAGTCGCGTAGGGTTAGGTCGTATAGCAGGGATTGCATGTTGACCGTTTATACCTATAAGTCGTTGACAGACGTGCTAACCTAAACCTTTAGTGAGCACCTTAGTTGGTATCAGAGCCAAGTTTAATAATAGACATAATATGGTTATAAACTACTAAGTTTAAGCTGATTATGTAGATATTTAATATCTTTAATAGTAGCTGCACTGGCTGTCTGTAAATGTTTGACTTCTGTTTTTAAAATATTTATTTCCATTTTTAGATCCTGGATTGTTGTGGGTTGTTCTACAGATGTAGAAGTTAAATTCTGGATTCTTTTAAATACATCTTGTAAATTGTAAGAATGTACTGGTATTAAAGGTTGTTCTTGAGTTGCCTGTTGTTGTTTATAACACATTTTTAAATATTTGATTTTTATTTCTGGATCCTGGATGTGATCTGCTACAACTAGCATATCCTTTTGAGTGTCTGTTAACACATTAATACTGCTAGGTTCTCCTAAGTGTAAACCATTCATTTCAACTATTGATTTCCAATAATTGATTTCTAATAGTTGGTCCTGGTTGGTCGAACAAGGGCAAGCAGATTCATCTTGTTCATCGCTACTACTGGAGGGTGAAAATAATTCATTAATTTCATCTTCGGAAGGAGACTCTTCTTCTGTTGATTCTTCTTCTATTGTTTGAAGAAGTTGTCGTTTAATATCTGGATCAAGATTTAGCTCATTAATCTTGGACTTGACTTTAGATTTGCATCAGTTCGCATAATGACCAATTTGGCCACACTTATAGCATTTAATTTCTGATTTGGATTTTCCTTTACTTTTTCCTGTATTTGAAGCTTTGTTGGAATAAAACTTCTTCTTAGGTTTCTGTGGATACGTCTTATGTGACTTTCTTCGGATGGGTTTAGACTATTTCTTATGGGAAACCTTTCTAGGTTTAGCTGGATATTTAATACCTGGTTCATAAGCAAACTGTTCACAGAATTCTCCTAATTCTTTCCTGTATTTGAGAGTAAATACCTGTTTGGTCAATTTTTTGTATGGGCATAAGAAGGCACAAAAAAGGGGTACCTAAAATGATGTTTTGTGTAAGATTTTTGACTAATACAAACGATGTAGGTAGGCAAGAATCTTGATTACAAATATATGCTTCGGGAATTTTATACCTGATTTGGAGTGAGTTTCCACTTGCACTGGTTAGACTTTGAGTAGTCTTTTGAAAATATCTGGTGGGAACTATACCTTCCTGGATACAGTTCATATCTGCACCACTATCAACTAAAGCAATAGCATCCTTTATCCAAAAGTCTGGTTGTATCACTGGTATACGCTCAGATATATACGGTTGAGTATAAAAATCTACTGGTGTATTAAGATAATAATCTTTCTGATGTTGCTAAAACTCCAAATAAGATAATAACTGTTCTAAAGCATTAACAGAAGGCATTCATACTTACAAACATGGAGAGTGCTTCCAAAGCTTACTATTATTAATGGAAGAAGTACGATTATTTTACAAAAGGGGGTTGGAGAGAGAGATATTGGAGAGAGATATTACATAAGAGAGAGAGCTTATAACTGAATCTGCCTCAACAAGGATGAGACCATTCCTATTTATAATACAAAGAAGATAAGAGAGAAGCCAAAAGGAAGACAGGTGTCGATCCCTTATAAGCTAATAGGATTACACTTTATCTTTATTGAAATCTTATCTTCAACTTTGTCTGAAAGTGGAGCTATCCTCTCTATTTGACTGGTAGTGGGAATCTGCTTTTCCAAAAGTAGTTTGTCTGTTTGTGCCGACGTCTTAATGTTCGGGCCCTTTTCCTTTCCTGTCTTTGTCTCTAGTCATCTTTTCTGCAATGACAGCTGTTAGGGAGTCCCAAAAGTCACCAAGGTTGGGCTCATCTGTTTCTAGATCTTGTGATTCTCCTGCCAACACGTGTTCGGCTGGATCACTCTCTGGTTCTGATGGAGTCTGACTGGTGCCTGATCTCATAGAGGCGTCATCATCTTGGCTAACTGTTTGGAGGAACTGTTCTTTCAGAAAATCCATGCTTTTAATTATTAATTCATGTTCTGAAAGATGAGGATATTGCTGCTTTAATTCCTTTTGGATTTGCACAAAAGGATTACTGGATAATGTTGGTGATTGAGCTGGAAGAGCTGGAGGTTGTTTAACGGTTTCCCAACATGCTTTGGTATGTTGTTGAATTTTCTGGACAGTGTCTGTTAAATTAAGGTTCATTCCCTTATCCCACCATTTTACAAAAAAGATTCTTTTAAGGTGGGAAACCTTATTCTGGTAATCACAGGCAAAGTCCCATTTCCAAATCCATGGAATACCAAAACGGATAGTAAAATGGACAAGAGATTTACTGATGGAAAGGTCTCTGTTTTTGTTTAAGTAAGCATAAGCTCGAGAATAAGCTACATGCCACTCATTAAATGCTGTTCGAATGGTGTCTAGTAAAATATCAAGAGAAAGCCGAAATTCTGTTGGATCATAGCGAGGGTTGTGACCCCGGCCACGACTACGACCTCGGTGGCCTCTACTGGTCATTCCTCGTGAATAATTGAAAGGCAACTTGTTGCAAATAGAAACATTCTTCCACGGAGACCTAAAAGAACTTTCTATCTTGGTTCTATGAGAAATGATATTGTTGTTAAATCGAGAATTGCATCGTAAATATAAATTTAAATTTTGTGAATTGTAAATGAATGAAATTGAAAAACATAAGATTCAATATTAACAAATAAAATATATTAAAAAAATTTGTAACGCATTTTATTATAAACTGAGTTGTATTGGATGGTCTATTCTAAAAATTATTTTAATTGTTCATTATGTTAAAGATAAATATTATATGATCACGTGGTTATGCTTTCTCGATCAAAACAACTTTTTGTATAGATGATATTATCGAATGACCTCATAAATGAACGATTCGAATCATCGATGCGGATCTTGTGATATGTCCAAAGTGGCCCAACAATATCGTTCAATTGAAACTATGA